TGCAATGAGAGAGAAGCAAAATCAGTTCCAAGAGGTTATTAAGAAAGCCAAACATTTAATAATATTTTGTAAGCCAATGTTGTAGCCACACCTGGAATAGGACTCGCAGTTCAAGTCAACCTGTCTCAAAAATAATATTGTGGCACAGAAAACAAAAAGGGGAAATTATCCTGGGGCTAAAATGCCTTCCACACGTGTAAAGGTTGAAGAACTGTAGCCATGTTTTTCTCAGCTGGAAAGCCCCACTTTGTGGAGGTCAGAGAGATATTTAGAAAATTATGAGCAACATGAAGAGGGGAAGGTTTCCTCCCCCAGTTATAATATGAGAGTGCAGCATTGCCTCTGTGGTGTAGCCCAGAGGAGGAATTGCCATGGGGAGAAGGTGACCAGACTCCTGCAGGGGTGAGATCCTTGACAGCGGGGCATAATGACATCCTTGCTCACCACTGACAGACATTGCTAGCCTCTGCTTAGCAGCCAACAGAGCCCTGAACTGTTTGGGAACGGGCTCACCTTTGGCCCATATGAGCCTGCTCTTCATTGGAGGCCCTCTTTAGCATCTCATTCTACATGCAAATACACAGTATTTGAAATTAGGTGGGGGGGGCGTCTGACGACAGAACTTTTTGGCATGCAGTGCTCTGTGTTGTGTTTTTTAATGGCTTGTTGGATTTTATAAATATACTAATTTTACTGACACTCGGAAACTGCTGCTAGGGGCATTTGTATGGCTTCTATATGGTGCTTTTCCTGCTTTCACGAGCTGCCGCCCTAGGGATCTTGCACTGAAAGGTGGTCTGCAAATCCAATAAATAAATAAACAAAAGATGGATCACTGGACTTGAGCTTCAGTGAACCTCATCCTGCAATGACTTGCAATAGGAGCACAAAGTAGCTCACAGACCAGCAGTAGTTGAAGACATGAATTAAGGTGATTTTTTTTTTTTAATCGATGCTTGCAATGACAAGAAGCACTCCTTCTTAGAGCTGGGGCAGCAGAAAGAAGGCTGTCACTTGTGCCAGGAAACAGCAGGAGTGATTTCACGGGCTGTGTTGGGGCAGCATTTGCAGTTCCTAATGGGAAGAACAGCTCATTCCCATCATTCACAGGCCACAGAACATTGTCTACCTGGAACTGAAATGGAATAAAACCCGGCTCTAGCAGTTATGTCATCATCTATTAATTCATTCTCTCTCTGTATCTTTTATGAGGATAAGTGCACACAGATGTTCAGTGGTCTGTGTTCCTGTGCCAGCTCCTACAAAAACCGTCCAGATTTCTGGTGACAAAGCAAGAAAACTCTCTGAAGATGCAAAAACCCAGAGCCCTCCAAGGAAACTGACAGCCAGGATAGTTTAAAGCCCAATGTAGTCACGCTGCACAAGTGCTTCAAAAAGGACCTGGACTTACATTATCAGGAAGAGCAGGAAAAGCAGATTATGTGAAATTGAAGGCAAAGAATTCAACTTTCTGAGAATTTCATGGTTCTTTAATTTTTAAAAAGCAAGATCCTTTACAGCTATAAAGTGTCTGGGCACTGATGGTTGAAGTTTCAGAAGTCAGAGCAGCTGCTGAACCAGATTTTCAGCAGTCCCTTCTCATGGTGAGCAAAACTAGAATGTATAATACAAAACAGCAAATTTGAACAATTTCATATTGGTCACACAATCCAGCTATGATGGGCACAGAATTTTAATACAGTGGTACCTCAGGTTAAGTACTTCATTCGTTCTGGAGGTCTGTTCTCAACCTGAAACTGTTCTTAATCTGAAGCACCACTTTACCTAATGGGGCCTCCTGCTGCTGCCGCGCTGCTGCCGCGCAATTTCTGTTCTCAACCTGAAGCAAAGTTATTAACCTGAGGTAATATTTCTGGGTTAGAGGAGTCTGTAACCTGAAGCGTATGTAACCTGAAGCGTATGTAACCCGAGGTAGCACTGTACTTCTAGCAAAGAGTATACACTTGAAAGCAAGCAGACAGAGGCTTTGCGAAATGTTAGAAGAAAATGACTGAGATGTTTGTTAGCCCCTGAACAGCAAGAAATGTGGCTGTGGCCACACTGAATGAGATCACAGTAAGTGAAAGGAGAGGTCTCCTCCTACCAGATTGTGGTAGAGGTCCATGGTGTGGTAGCTGTGGAGGGAGGAACAGGGAAGAATGTGCACAGTTAGGAGGTGTGGTTAGGAGGAGGAGAAGGAGCTCTCCTGCCCTGCTTTTGAAAGTCCATCCAGTTCTCTAAGAAGTGTAGGCAAACACATTGAATCCAGCGCACCAAACCACACTGAGAGTCAAAGCGAGACCTGGTCTGTGCAGTTCCAAAAAGAGCAGCTCTGGAGCGGCTGGAATAATCATAAATGCATACTGAGCAGGAACCTGCAATCTAACCTGCAGTTAACACTGCTTGGAGATCCTCGTATCAGCAAATCAAAGGGATGCAAGAAGCAGGAAGCCCAGGCCCTACCATTGCGAGGATGAGGCAAAACAAGTTTGCCTCTGTGTGGCTAGTCTCCCATGTTTTATTCAACTTCCATGATTCAGGTTCTTCCTTACATCGGCATCTGGGGAAAAGGGATCCAACCACAGAAAGGCATGGAAAGAGGGAGGGAGGGAGTGGAGACAGTGCCAAGTTGTCTGGGGATTCTCCCTTGTGGTCAAAACTAGGACATTATGCTGAGGATGCTCAGAGTATGCATTGGAGAAAAACTGTGGATAAGCCAAATATTTATTTTTAACACTATATTAAAATGATTTGTGTTTTGCTTACTTTTCAAACACCAAGGCTACTTACAGAACAACAGCAACATATAACAAATGTCTTAGTCTAGAGGACCAGAGGCAGCTCCTGCCAGGCTTGTACAGCATACAGGTGAAGAGGAGTTGGGCAATTTCCCAGACAGCCCACCCTTGCCTGAGCTTTGCTTGTTGGGGAGGCCAGCCGTTAGCATGGCCTCCATCCTTCCCCACATGACAGTTCATAGTCTAAGCAATGAGGGCTCAGAAGCTGCAGACTTTTGTCTCTTTGGGCATGAAAACAAAAGAAAAGTCAGTGGCACGCAAAAGAGCTGCTGAAGCTTTGACATGAGAATACTCAAAGAACTGTTGCTCAAGCAACCACTACCATGGAAACAAGAGCAATTCCTCCCAGCCAAATGAGCTTGGATTTCAGGCACTCGACACCCCTCCACGCAGCTTCTGCAACAGACAACAGGCCACCTTCCTTTCCACAACAGCTCTACCCAACCTGATGCCATCCACATGTTATTGGACTACAACATCTGGAGGACACCAGGTTGGGAGAAAGCCATTCCACAGCAAGTTCCTGCTGTCAGGAGAGCTAAACTTCCAGAGCTAGACTGGAAAGGGCAGATGTGCCTGCTATCCAGTCAGGCTCATGCCAGATGTCTAAGCCCATTTTCCAATCTTCTGAATACCATTCCACAAAGTTGGGGTCTTCCTCTGATGAGCAGTCCGCTCACCCATCCAATCAATATGCACATCCGCCCATCTGCTTTGACCCAGAAGAAACTGACTGTCAAGCTGCCCTGATAATGATGATTACAGTTTAAATTGTTAAATTAAACAATAAAAGAATCAATAACAACCACACTCTTCAAGTCTGCAATTATTTCAATCAAGAGTCCTGGTAGCCTCCACAGATTAGGGTTTCTGGGTAAATGTCATTTTGATGTCTCACTGTGATCTTCCAACCTAGAGCCCCAGATGGATTGCAAATTCAGGGAACAAAGGCAACTCTCTTATCTTTAGTGACTGGGAAACAAGAGACACCACCACAATATTTGAAAATCCCTCTCCGGAGCAAAAGGTGAGGTTCTTGAGGCAAGGGAGAGGAAAAATCTTTGGACTGGGTAGGTAATGGACTTCCCTTCTTTAGTCACTTGGCCAGTCAAATCAGCAGGCTCACCCGATGGGGGGGGGGCTTTGGGGTGGCATCTCACCTACAACAGAGGGTTCAGACTGAGGCCTGTCAGGGCGTACCCCTTGCAGGTGCCTGAAGGTTTTATCCTGTTACTCCCTGTGCAGTAGGAGTCAGTCCTTCCGCTGTGCAAAGGTTGTGTCTCAACCTCCACAATAAATCACCTTCACGCACCAGTGCTGCCCCCTCCCAGAGGCAAAGACAGTTGTGGGAGAAGGAACCAAAGCATTGCCTTCTCTACCTAGTCCCGGGGAAAGGTAGGCACCGGGTTGGTGAAGGCTACATAAAGAAAGCTAATGTGACAAGAAGCCCGTATGTAGTGATGAGTAGCCCAAAAGATAACTTGGGAGATGCAGTGAGAAAATTATTGATAAGTACACTGACAGATAGCCTAAGGTGTAAAGGCAGTAAAAGTATGAATAGATGTTATTCTTATTTATTTATTATTTATTAAATTTGTAGAGCGCCCTTCATCCATGGATCTCTGGGCGGTTCACAACATAGATATACAATATAAAAACACAAAATACAAGAGAAAAATAAGAACAAAAAAACACAAACTAATAACCCCCCCTTCCTGTTGTAACAGAGTCAATATGTCTTCTGAAGACGTGCAAAGGAATTTGCTGACACAGATGGATAAACCTATGGCCTTGTTCTTCAGTTATTGCCTGTGATGTTGGTTTTGCTCAGTCCGATAAGGCCATTGCCTAGTTACCCAATTGCAACTCTGCTTGTTATCTGACTTTAAATAAACAAAAGCTGTCTTAAACATCACAACTCATGTGGTTAATTGCATAAAAATCACTAGAGACACCTACCAGATGGACTTTGCTAAACCACACATTTGGCTACCACATTAGCTAAAAGAAACTGACCAATGGAAGCCCAGCCTGGCAGGTGAGAACACCTTGAACAGCACACCTTTGTTCAGACTTAATAAGTGCCTTTCCTTGCAACCCCAAAATGCCATTTCTGACATTTTTAAGCCACCGGCCTGCATGTATTGAACCATGCTGAGCATGGCAGGTGCACAAAGGCAAGGAGAAGACATTGCAACTTACCTTCCAGTCTGTGTTCACTGCAGAGAGGAAAGTATCTGAATTCTCCTGGGAAGGAAACAGACCAAATCAAACCATTACTTCTCATACAGGTTATTCTAGCTCGTGACTTTCTTTCAAGCCTACTGAGTGCACTCCCCAAACCTGGGACGTCATCACCATACTGTGTTTCCTGAAAGGAGGATCATTCAGCTGCCTGTCACAGCAAGTTTGGGATCTATCCTGACTCTCTACAAATCAGGGTGGAGAACCTGAGGTGCTCTAGATTGTCACTGGCAAACCTTGGCAATGTCACAGCCATACAACCACCAGCCTCCCTCTCAAATTTGCAGTTTGAGTATGTGCAACTGCCTAGGAGAATCTCTGCCCATCTCTAGAGCACAGATTTTGGGAGGAAGGCTGGTTGGTCAACATGCTGGCCAGAGGCCGTGGTGTAGATGCCAAGTGGAAATTGGGAAGTTGGCTGTGTGCTGGTGTGAAGTACCAAGTAGGCTGACCTCTCTCTCCTCAAGCCAGGAGAAAATGATAGTCAGCCAGAGTTTGGAATTTCACTTGCACACACCTTTTTGGAGCTGGATTTAAATCAAAATATAAATATTTGCATATATATCATGGCAGAAGACAGCTTCCAAACTTATTTGTTACTGACATGGCTCACCAGGCTTGTATCTTAAGTTCCTTATTGGTGGCACCCACATCAGCATCACATCAGAGGCCCACCTGCCAACATGTCCAGGAGGGTTTTGGCTTTTCCATCAGGCTCTGCTCATCCTCTTGTTTACAGGGGATCCATACTGAAGAAGGAATGGAGGATGGTAGGCATCCTGCTTGTGGCCCAATGGCCATCTCTACACTCACATACATCCCTCTTGCCTCTGAGTGAGCAACTGGCAGCCTATGCAGTATAAAGGGTCTGAATTTGGTCCTGAGGCCACAGGCCACAGATCTCCAGTGGAAGAGGCCTCTGGAATGAAAGTGATGGGTGTGTGACCAGCTCAAAGTCATACTGGCACAAGTTTCAGGACAAGTATCTTAAGAACCTTGCTAGATGAGACCAAAGACCTACCTAGTGCATCAGTCTTGTTTCCCCACTAGTCGATCAGATGCCTTTGAGAAGCCCAAAACTAGGGCTTTAAGGGAAGAGTCCTTCCCAACTGTTGCTGACTTTCTGAGTAATTTCTCACTCAGGTATCTTTTGAATCTGAGACCATCATGGACACTGTTCCCAAAGCAGTTTGACAATGGCTGAACCTTGCACCAGTCCTGTGAAGAGCTTAGATTTAAGTCCAGGGGTTGCTTGCCCTCTTGTCAATTCCATACACCTATCAGCTACCACTTGGTTTGTTCCCTTTTAAAAAAAGTTTTGCTAAGTGATGCCAAATCCAGCAGGACTCACCAGCTCAGTGTCCTGCCCCCGAAGCAGTGGCTTCTCTTCTGTAAATCGCTGCTCATGCAGGCCGGCCATGGTCACTTCCTGCAGCAAAAGTCCTGCACAAAGGAAAAATGCAAGCACAGCAGTCAGCACAGCCCCAGGCAGGAACCAGGCAGAACTTCCCTGGACCTCCTTACACTTCAGGTGGCAGAGCTTCCTGCTCAGGAGCAGGAAGTAAAGTTGGATTTGTCACTGTACTTGGTATTCATAGAGCACTTTGCCCTGGATGGTTCACCCACATTAGCTCAGTCATGCTTCCAACAGCCCTGTAAGTCAGGCCAGTGTTATCATGCCTGTAAAACAGATTTGAGGGTGGATGGGGGAACACTGAGGCCAGGAGAATCATGGCTTGCCCAAGACTATTTGTGAAGAGAGTTGGTGGTCCACCCATGGCTGCATCTGCAGTTTCCCAGGTGGGAAGAGGCTCACTAGAACTGGGATGCTGTTTCTCAGCTGGAGCAACTGGGAAAGAGGCCCCTCACACTCCATCCCATATCACTGTCCCTGTCTTCCCCACTCCCCATTTTCTTCAAGTTTGTGCCTCTGGCTCCCACCGATTAGCTGCTCAAAGCCACCACCTCATCTGACTTCAGAAGAAAACCTCTCATTCAGGCCAACGGAGGTCCCAGCCTTATGCAAGTTTTGCAGGAGGGCAAATGGCAGTGGCTGGACAAGGACACAGCAACTCCCCATCCACAAAGATGCTGTGAGCCTCTGCCCCCCGTGTCCTGTTCCCATTGCTGTCCCTGGAGACCTTGCAGGTGTCTCCACAGGCAAAGGACAACCAGGTGACCTCCTGCACATGCTGCCAGAGCCAGATGCAAAAGGCCCAAGCCGAAAACAGAGACCACCTCATGTGAGCCTTGGCTTGGCTTTTTGCAGATTGCAGCAGCAGCGACTTGGAGAAGTTGAAAGAGAGAAAGAGAGCTGCTTCTTTAAGCCAGAAACAGGATACATGGGAACCTTTGCTGCCTGTTTGCAGTTTACTGGCAAGAAGTCACATTCCCTGGGGAAGAAGGAGAATGTCTCATTTGGGGCCGTTGCCAGTATCTCCTGCATTGCAATTCATAATACCACCACCAGCTTTGCCTGTTGCAAAATCTTCTGGCTTTCTGAGGAGCAGCTGGGGGTCGTAAGCTGAACAAGGGGAATAAGAAACATGCTCTGCTTCCTTTTGTTCATTAACGCATTGCAATTTTGTTGTACTTGCATTTTCTTTATTTGGGAGGGTGGTTTTATGGATGCCCATGTATTTTTTTATTTTTTAAAAAAATTATGGTATGGGTCACTTTGAGTGCATTTTGGGGAAGACATGGCAGGATAAATAAATAAGATTTAAATTAAACAAACGTAAACTGCACTCTATCCCTCCCTGCTCCAGTTGAGGAGCCCAGTTCCCCTCAGGGGAAACAAACTACACAGAACATTCTGACAAGGCTAGGAATCCAGCACTGTGGCTTCTTGCGCCAGCCAAGAGGCACATGCAAGTGGGATGATGCCACAGGGCAGCATGGGCAGTGCCACCTATGGCTGAGACAGATACCAGCCCTGGGAGGACGTTATCAGCAGCAGCCACTGCACATGGAGGCAGAAGGGGCACATCAGGGGCAGCAGGAGGGTTTGCCCACAGGCCATCCTGGGCCTGGAAGATGTTAGCCACTCACTGCAATGGGGTCTTGACCCATTTGCACCTTTGCAGCCAGTAGGCAAGCACCTGGTAGAGACAAGACTCTGGGACTCCCCCCTGCAGAACCCTTGGTCTGAACATGCTGTGCAGAATCCTTCACACAACCCCTCTTCATCCACCCTGATGGAGCGAAACCCAGAGCACAAACTGTGAGGAACATTTAGTGCATGAAGCAAATGGGCAGAAGATGGCACCATGTGGCGATTGCACACTTCTTGCTCTCCAGGGAAGAGAGGGAAGTAGTGCGGGGTGTGCATCTTAATTTTATTTTTATTGTTTATTACCTTTTTGTAAGCCACCGTTTGGGGCACAGCCCACTCAAGGTGGCTGGCATCTCATCAAAGCACACTAAGGTTTGAGGAGGAACCATCTAAAACAGCAGCAGTCCAACATGCCTCCTTCATGGAGCCCAGAGCTCTGCACATTTCTGGGGGCCCCAATGAGGCAACAATCTGGGCTGCAAACACCCACTCTCTGTCCTGCTGCATTGAGAAGCCCCAGCCAAGTAACACACACTACAGTGCCGATTTCACTGCACACTGGAGAGGGTTTAGCACAGTAAAGCAGAGGACAGATGGAGGCAGGAAGCCTTCAGAACAGTCTCCCTCTGCAGCAGTTTACTAGGAATGGCCTCCGCATACCCTACAAAGCAGGCTTCATGATTGCCTGGTTCCTTTGGCTTTCCAGCAGTGGGCCTGTGTTGCTTGGGGGGCTATCAAGTCATGGGTAGAGTTGTTTGCCATCCATGATTCTGTTGCACTAAATCAGGAATTGGCATTAGCTTCTTATTTCAATGTGCTGAGAATCTCACCTTTTTTCCTTTTTTGAAAAAGCAAGTTTCTAGTCCTGAGGGAACAAGAGTTGGTAAACTCTCACAGACTGGGCAGGGGCTGGGAAATGTTTCCAGTGGCATCGTTAATGCTCACCAAGCTGCCTTGTCATGGGGCTAGCTCTCCTGACTCCCAAGGGGAGTTTGGGTCAGAAGGAGCTGAATCTGCCTGCCTGGTGACGCACAGAGACAGGAACTGGGCTGGAGCCAGAGGGCCTCTGCACCTGGGTAGAAACTCATGAAGCTGTCTGCAAAAGAAGGGAAGCCAGGTGATCCCAGGGAGGCCAGAAGGCAACTGATTCTGCAGGGAGTGGGAGCCAAGGGGAAAGGAGAAGAGATGACCAGCTAGCTCAGGGCTTAGGGGGTGGAGTGGGGACTCAAGTCCCAGGATAGAAGCCTGGGGGAAGGGTCTGCCAGGAAAAGGAGACTTGCTGGGGAGGGAGGGAGGAAGAGGAAGACCCAGCAGTCTAAGCACCAAGGGTAGGTATCAGAGAGTGGGAGAAGGTGGGTGGGAGGCTCCCAAGGTCCAGGCCTGCTCTGCAAGGCTGTGTTTCTGGCAGTCCCTTCTGTGTCCTGCCAACTACAGATGCTGGAAGGAGCAGGACACTCGGGAGGAGGAATTTTCCCTGTCCACCCAAAGCAAGACCAGATGGGGTCGCAAAGGTTGTTGGGGGCTTTTGCCTTGTGATCAGAAGCCAGGAGTGGAAGCCACCACTGCTTTTCCATAGCCAGGTCCTGCATTGATACCTTCTCCCACTCTTGCCTGCCTGCTGGCTTCCTTCAGCAGAACACCCTTCACAGATAATGATGATGATGATGATGATGATGATGATTTATTTATACTCCACCCATCTGGCTGGGTTTACCCAGCCACTCTGGGCAGCTCCCAATCGAATATTAAAAACACAATACAGCATTAAACATTAAAAACTTCCCTAAACTGCCTTCAGATGTCTTTTAAAAGTAGGATAGTTGCTTATTTCCTTGACATCTGATGGGAGGGCATTCCACAGGGCAGGCGCCACTACTGAGAAGGCCCTCTGCCTGGTTCTACCTATGATGTGGCATCACAGCTCACGCATACCCATGTTTGCCTCATGGTGACAGTGCTGCAGCTTTACAATGTCAAATAGGGTGTGGGGCAGACCCCTCAGACCTGTGAGGTTTGTAAGGCATTCTGACGCATGCTTGGGGCAGCAAGAGGTCCTACCCTGATGGGAGTCACTTCACATGTCATTGCAAACCGAGCTGGGCTCCTCTGTTAAGGGCAAACGGGGTCTGCATCCTGTCTCCTGCTGCATCCAGGTCCTAGTATCGCTCTGAGGGTGGTCTCTGAGTTCTCCTAAGTCATTCCATGTGGGAGGGAGGAGCCCCCAGTCCCCTCTCCTTTCCATACTGCCCCTGCCTAAGAATGCAGCTGTCCCATTTCTGTCAGACTTGAAGGAGGGGGGCTTGTATCTGTTGATATAAACAAAGGGCAGCAAGATTGGATGGACAGAGTGGCTGAAGAAGGAGAGTTTGAGCAAGGACAAAGTCCAAGGACAGAAAGAAGAGGTTGGACAAGGCAACCAGAGTTTTAAAGGTTAGAACATGGAGTCAGCCCAGGCACAGAAGAGGAGAGGAAGCCTTGATAGCATTGCTAAGAATAGCACCAGGAGGAAATGTCCCCAAATGCTGATCTTAAACTGGTAAATTTCAAGGCCAACTCTACAGCTGCACTTAAGCAAAAGCTTGTCTAGGAATGAGGAAGTACTCCAGTCCATTCATTTCTTGAGCCTTCCTTTATTTCTTTAGGCACACCTTTACAAGAACTGATTTTTTGGAAGGAACGCATTTGATAGCACACCTGCAATTACTGCATTAGAAGCTACCCAAGACTAGGTCAGATTAGCTAGTACTAGGTCCACCTAGCAGCTAGTACAGTCGTACCTTGGAAGTCGAACAGAAACCATTCCAGAAGTCCGTTCGACTTCCAAAATGTTCAAAAACCAAAGTGCGGCTTCTGATTGGCTGCAGCCCATCAGAAGCCCCGGAAGCCCCGTCAAACATTTGTCTTCCAAAAATAGTTCGCAAAACAGAACAGAACAGTCTGCGGCATTCGGGAGCCAAAACGTTCAGGAACTAAGCTGTTCCTAAACTAAGGTACGACTGTACTGCCAAGCAGTGACTCTCCAGGATTTCAGGCAGGGAACCAGTCTCAGCCCTACCTGGATATGCTGTCAAGATTGTACATGGGACCTTCTAGATAGAAAGCAGATGCTCTACATTGAACTGCAGCCTTTCTCATACTTTAAAGAATGAATAATACATGCAAGAAAACGTCTGAAAAGGCATTTGATCTGTCATTGCTCTGGACATTTCACAGCCAATCCTGGTAAAGCTTATAACAACAAGGGTATAATTTTGTCATCTAAAGACAGTGCTTGGTGGTTTTCAAGATTAAATATCAGAAATGATTAAGTCCCAAGGTTTGCTTTGAACATTTACACCAGGGCCTCAATAAAGGTCATCCTTTCCTAGTGAAAAATGGAGATGAAGAT